TCTCGTGCCTGCGGACCGAGTGGCAGCTGCTTGTCCACTCCATCTTTCAATAGGCTGTGGCTTCTGACAGCACCTTTTCTAGAACAGACCTTGTTTCCTTAGCCCGTGCTCCAATTGTCGCAGTGGAAGCCCAGAGCCTCTCACAGATTCTTGTCGACCGCCCCTTGCTCAGAGACTCATGGTCATCCATGGCGTGTGCTGTCCTCGCTGCTGAGAGCAAACTCAACTTGTGTAACTACGTGTTCCTGGAGGTCTTGGCTGAAGGACACCGATACGCTTAAAGGAACTAGGGCAACAAACCAATAGCTTAATTTTTTCTTTTTACAAGGAATTTTCTTCACACAGAAATCAAGTCACACGCCCAGCCACGTGGACTGGGAGGAAGGGTCTGAAGTCCAACCTCAGCTTGAAGAGGCTTCCCCTGAGGGTGACATGAGGGAACAGAATTCGATGACCAGCTGACTGTCCTTTTTTCCCCCCAAGACAAAGTCTCACTCTGTCACAATCCTCTTGCTTCAACTTCCGAGTAGCTGGGACTATGGGCAGGTGCCACCCTGCCTGACTTTTTATGGTGGGGTAGGAATCAGACCCGAGCCTCCTGTGCAGCCTCAGTGTACCAAGCAGCAACGTCTAGTGTGTCCACAGCTCTGAGCTTGACTGTGGCTCCGAGTCACTTTCTTGTGCCTGAAGCTGGTGCCATTAGTCACCAGCAGGGGGTCTGAGGGTTGAAAGTCAGGTCAGCTCACGGGAGGGCATGGGATCAGGGGCTCAGGGCTGCTGTGGTGGAAAACACATGTCCACATGCAAGGCGCGAGGCTGGAGCCCGAAGCGGGAAGTGAAGGGCCGTTAATAGCACACTGTGGTAGGGGACAGTCACTCCCTAGGGGATGGCCAGATGGGAAGGAGTCTGACCCAGTGACACTCCCCAACCCCTCACCCACCTCTGGTTCATGCTGTACTCTTCCTACCCAGCCAGAAGCACATCAATCCAGGCATGTTTGTATGTGTGCCCCAAATACCGACCGGTTGGAGTAATGGGGAAGAGATTGTGGCATGACTATGCCTCAAGGAGAGATGCTTTCTCCCTCTCTGTCTCTCTATTTCTCTGGCAAGCGCATGTGCTCTCTGGCTATTACAAAAAAATTATATGGGGGAGCCAGCAGGTGGCATAGTGGTTAAGGCACTGGTCTCTCACATGGTGGACCACAGTTTG